AGGGACTCATGAACAACCATCACAAAAAAATAAAAATAAATCGTGGATCATCCAGGTAACCACACACACAGTATTAAGAACCACAGTATATTTTTCTTGTGGACTAAATGTAAACATATTTTATGTAAATTAGCTGACTCAGGACAGTACTAAATAACAACTAACATGCATTTTGTATGATCTCTCTTATTTTGTGAAAATTATTAACATTTTCACAGATTCTGCAAGGGGTTCCCAAACTTTCGCATGCCACTGTACATGACTAGATTTTTGCCCCAATTAACAGTCCGGAGAAGTTGACTCTAATTGCCGAAAGCCAGCGCCAGTCTACAGATTTGAGTGGACAGATTCCACAGAAAATCACGTAGTGTATGATGATCACACAGAGCTTCAGACTCTGATTCCATCTAGTTGGAGGATATCAAACATGTTTGATATTTTGAGAGAAAGTGGGGTCAGAGGAACTACTTGGAGAATCTTGACAAGTGCACTGAGATTGCCTCTTGCTTGGGTGGCTTCGTCTGTTGTGAGGTGTTTTGTGGGATTGCCTGTGTTTCCAAATGAGAGGACAGATCCTTGTAAATAACAGTACTGTCCTTGCGCCTCTGAAGAACTCTATGAACCAGATCACCCCTGAAATTTTGTGTTGTGTGTTCATCTTTCTACCTACCCACTGTTTTGAGTTTGGGGAACACCACATAGTAGCGAGGCATACCTACTATAAAAAGATAATATAGAGTATTATACTGTACACACAGTATTATATTGAGTTATACACACAGTTTTTTTTCCTACTTACAAGTGCTGTTTACAGCCCGCTGTCATTGAACATTCTCATTGTACTCAAGTGCGGCCAGCTGAGTATAAGCAAGCATTGAGGGGTTGTGAAAGTGGAGGCTTTTGGGAGTACTTCAGCACTACTGAATGGAAAACATCAAGCTTACCTGAACAAAAAATTATATATTGATTATAGTGATTAGCACTGTGTACATGCTATGTACAGTAACATGCTTTATTATAGTGTAAACTTACCAGTATGCTCGAAGAGAGCCATTTGCCTAAGGTTCAAGACAAGGGTTTGTGATGTACTGAATGCTCAGAAATCTTTTTCCAAGCCATTTCTTTCTTCTCTGCTGGTCAGAACTGAGCTCACTATGCAGACATCTTTGTTGCTCTCCAGTCTAGTCCAGTCCAGTTCCTCAGTCCATGTATGAACCCCACAAATATGATTGAGAATTAACTTCCACTTTTTGATTACAATTTCCAGCATCTAGGTGGAACAAAACTAACGTCCTTCTTTTCTGATGGTGGATCTAATGAAAGCATGCTGGCATCTAGGTTAGTGCTTCCATCAGGCTCTTCTTCACACTGAGCTGGTTCTGAGCTGAAGGTAAGCACAGGTAAGTACCATTTTGATAAAACACAGGCATCCTCACTCTCCATTGTAAACAAACAGCATTAGTTTACGTGTGAGTATGCGCCTGTGGATATGTCATTATGCAACAGTCACGAGAACCGTTTGCCCAGGCTGTGGATTGAAGGTAATAATGTTGTAAATAATGTGCCGTTTCTTGCACAGACCAATCGTTTCACTTCAGAAGACCTCAATATATCGTCAGGCGCCACTGGTATTAATTTGGTCTAGCCTGTATAAGTGTTTTTGACTCCTAAAAAATGGCAGCCACAGACATGCAGTGTATGAATCCCCAAGGACCACAGTTTTACCTAAAAATCTTCTCTACGGTTCTGCTGAAGAAAAAAGTCACCTACATCTTGGTTGGCCTGAGGGTGAGTAAATTAACAGCAAATTTTCATTTTTGTGTGAACTATCGATTTATTAAGTACAACAACATGACAAAAAGCCAGAAATTTGATTACATTTAAAAATGTTGGAGAATGCAACTTTCCTGATGTTTATGCATGTGTATCTTCCAGTGTACATTTACAATTATTGTGTGTGATATGCTTTTTTACAAAGATTTTATTGTGTGTGTTTGAGATAGTGTTTGACAGCGTCTCTGTGAGTGTACCTGAAAAGTCTCCTATTGTCTAAATAAATTGCTATTTGAGCTTTCAGAGGTGGGAAGTTCTTCAGTTCTTTAGTGAACAGTACCAGTATTTGGAATGTGACGTTGTATTTGTTGAGCTTTCCATTCAAGAAAATGTTGTGGTCTCGAGTCTGAGTCCAAGACTGTATTTTCATGGACTTGGGAGCATTTGTACTCTGTCTTGAGTTTGCATCAGTTGCAGAGGTTCGTGCAGCACTGATGTGAAACCAGGCTTCATGCACCCCAAAGTAGTGTTGCCTCACGAAGAGCTGAAACTGTGAACTCTTTTGAGAATTGGCGTCAAAACCTTGACAGGTTAAGTGAAGTCTAATTTAGATAGCGCTTTGGTCAATACAAGTGTTATTTACAAAATTGTTCTCGAAGCACACAGGGCCTTGCTATTTAGAAGTTTTACTGACGATGACACAGAGGTTCCCACAGTGTTCCAATGTATGCGCCGACAAAAGGTCAGCATGCACAAAACCTATGCAGCTGGGATAGGCTTTTAGCTGTACGTCAGTCTCTGTCGAATGCATTGGTGTCCCAAAGTAGGTGCTGCATGGGTTGTTTATATAATGGCACATCAGGCAAGACTTGGGGCCGGCAGGTTTTTTTTTTTTTTTTGGTGAGCTGTATTTGAAGATGGGCATTCAGAACACCAATAAATGTGGCATGAAAAATTAAGCTCCGTCACTGTAGCCATTGTTTGCGCATGCTTTTCGTTGTATTGACTGCCAGTTTAAAATGTCATCTTTTCTGTTTATCATTTCCCAATACTCACAACTTCATACATACATCAGAGGTGTAAAGTATTTGAGTAAATATAAGTAGTTACTGTACTTGAGTATCTTTTTGGATACTCTGTAGGTTTACTGAGTATCAAAGGTATTAGCAATGTTTACTCTCTACTTCACTACATTTTTGAATAAGCATCTGCACTTTTTACTCCACTACGTTTGTAATGTGTGTGTTTGCATGGCACCTAGCTTTTTCTGCAGCAGTTAATTTCTGCTACAAAATAAGCGATATCGCCAACGACAGGACATGGAAAGTACAATATCTTGTGCATTTTTCCCTTACTCACCCAAACTTGTCAACAAGGCTACTTTACGGTGAATGCGAGTTCCTTAGCAACAGCAATGAGGCTGAAACCAGCTCATCCAGTGCAAGACGGCTTTGACTTTAAAAAAAAAAAAATCTCACTATTCTCCTGTATTGTTATCCTGTTATTATTGTAAAAGTTCAATAAAAAATTAAGCAAAAAAATATATATATATTTTATTTATTCGTTATACTGGAGAGCTTTTTGAAGGCTATTGGTTTTTTTTTGCAATTGTGAGGTGTTCAGTTTTACTTTGGTTTTAGAAAATAAACGTGACTGCTGTTCTCACAAATCAACTCTTTCTTGTTCTCTTTGACTAGTGCATTTTGAGCCAATACTTAGTATGAGTAAAATACTTAAGTACTGTTAAAATCAGATACTCTAAGACTTTTACTCAAGTTGTTCTGAAATTGGTGACTTGTAACTTTGGAGTAATTTTCACTGCAAGGTACCTGTAATTTTACTCAAGTATGGTTTTAGGTACTCTTTACACCTCATACATTTATTGCACACTTGAATAGACAAGCATTTGTTTAGTTGTGTGCACCAATTAAACAGATTGTGCTGCCCTACTTGTAACTTAATTCTTTCACAGGGAATAACATTTAATTTTATAACAGTCCATTTTCAATTTTCCGACATAAATGATGTTAGTAAATGATGCTAACTATGTTGCTGGACACAAGTTTTCTAATCCCTTCTGCTCAGGAAGGGAAAGAAAAGCTCCAAAACAAACAGAAGCAGTGAAGCTCCAGGAAGTTCGGAAACAGCGACAACAACAACTACAACCAGCTTATGCGACCAGCAAGCAAATTTTCTCTTCAAAGCCTCTCCATCTGCATCTTCCAGATTGTCTAGGACCTTCTTCAATGACTTGAGAACCTTCTCTCCAAGGCTCCTCCATCTGCTAATCGGCTAATCTACCTCAAAGCCTGTGTCTTATTGGATTCTAACACTTTAACATGCTTTTTCTAGTCCAGTAAGTGTTCAACTTGAAATATTCTAACAGTTTTAAAGTTATTCTTATGTTTACTTATTAAATTCAGTAAATATTTCAAAGCAAAAAGACATGAACCTGAATGGGGACATTTTTAGATTTATGGGTTCCTAACCTTCCTATTAAATTGTGATATAATTATAACATGATATATAGTAATGAAATGTATAGCAACATAAATGAAACGATTATGTTAAAAGGGAGGAGAAAACACTTCCCTCTGTTATCATTTTATGCTGTTGATAAACAGACCTCATCTTCATGACTGCAGTAATATTTATTTTTTTGTCTTTCTACTATGGCACATACGTTTCAACAGCTAGTATGCCTATACAAATCAAGCACACTTTATTTTTATTAGTTTATTTTTTTTAACTCCTTCCCCTTAATGCAGGGGTTTACCTCGGATTCCCTTTGTCGTGCAACCTAGAGGTTTAGATTCCTGTATCGATCCTTTGAAGCATCCCATTTATCATCTACACCTCCCCAAATGATGGACAAATAAAAGTTGACTATCAAATAAAGTCCCGTTTTAAATATTTGCACTGTTAAGACAAGCCTGCTGCTCCACTTTGTGTAAGACACATTACTTTTGTGCCTCACGTCAAATTTCAAGACTGAGGAGAAAGAAAGACAGCGAAACAGCACATGAAGTGGCTATTAAAAGCCTGTTTGACAAGAAAGGAACGCTTTTTCCATGATGCACAAAGACTGCAGTTGTAATACCGTCTGTTTTACAGTTCACTTTGGTGTTTTCGTAGTTTTCCCTTTAATATCTCCCCGTCTCTGGTCGGGAAGTGCTCCTCCAGCAGCATCAGCACCACACCGCTCCTGGATGCTGCGCTGCTGGAGTATGTACGCATGCGCACCACAGTGGAATTACTGCACAGCGCACTCTAAGTTGGATCTTCTCTGTCTTCACGGAAACCAGAAACCATACAAAAGTATGGCGATCTTTAGAATAAGACAAAAGAGCTTCGTGCGCGTCTGGACGTTTTCCGTGATCGTGGCCGTGGTGTGTGCGCAAAGGTAAGTCCGAACCAAAGCTCTCCTCACTTCATATGGCTGTCTGTAGTCCACACACAACTGAAATGATCTGCAAGCATGCATCTGAATCTAACGGTGCATTTTCCCTCTTTGCAGTGTCAATGATCCAAGCAACATGTCTCTCGTAAAAGAAACTGTTGATAGACTATTGAAAGGATATGACATTCGCTTGAGGCCAGATTTCGGAGGTAACGCACGTTTTTAATTAAATCCATCATGTCAGCCTTTTAACATCACCTCTGAACTTTCATATAGTAACATCCTAAGCGTGCCATTATGGAGAGTTACGCGCTAATATATCCCAATGATCTCAGGTTTGGAGGCGATCGGGACACTTGCTTCCACTTGTTATGAATTAATCGCTTAATCTGCCGAACGCGCTGTTAGATTAGAAATGCTTCGCAAAGTTAAAAACGAATTTACACCGATTTGGACATCTGCACGTTCTACCCTTGCAATGCTTTCTCTGATTGGCACTGATTAATCAGTAATAGTAATATCAGTGAACAGTGATGCTCATGATGATGAATCCATAAATTGTGAATTTATGATTCTGGATGATCACAGTGAAATCAGTGTGTTTAGATGATCTTTGCTTTACTTTTCACCTCATCCTGGATGTTATCAGGCTGACGTTGAGTTAATAATGGCTCATGCGTGACATGACCATTCATTTCAGTGTACAAAACAAAATCAATTAGCTGTAACGTCACTGGTATGATTTGGTTTGGTTTTTAGGTCCTCCGGTGGGAGTGGGGATGAATATAGACATAGCCAGCATAGACATGGTCTCAGAAGTGAATATGGTAAGTCTGTTATCATGCTGTCCTGTTGAAGACAAAGTATGTGAGCTCCTTTAATCCCCTTTCCCCCTCAGCTTTCTATCCCAGGTCATTTATGTTTCATTTGAAGAGTTATAGTCTATTGTTTGTCACTACATCTGTGGGTGCACACTTCATATCAGTGGAATTTTAAGCATACTGTAGACGGTGTATAACAAAACTTTTCAGAGCATGCACTACTAGCTTTAATACTCAGTGTTCACATATGGACATGAGTAATGGTCAGGAAGAGCTAGTGTGGTTTCTATGGCAACATCTTTTTTTTTCTTCTTCTGCGTATTGACTGAATGTTTTTGCTGGGATTTATAAAATCACAAAACAAGTGGATACCAACGTGAATTTCTCCATTTTGGATTTTTATACTCTTTCCACCCTTATGGTTATCTGGTAGGATTTTCCCCCCTTAGATACAAGAGCATCCCCTAGTGATGGTTTTGAAGCACAACATGAAATTTTGTGTTCGAGGTCTGGTCAAGTGAGGTGATATTCATGACAATAACTGAGAGCATCTAATGTATTTTGATACAGCAGGACCTGGTTGCATTATATTTTGAGTTATTTGTACTCTTAGCCGTATTTTGAGACTGGTTTTGTCTCTATTGTTCTCAAAATAGCCTAGCGATATTCATTATATGTTACATGCATTGCAGACTGAGAATACGAGGTTTGAGATGTGAATGCATGCGAGTGTGCTCGCTTATAATCTTTGGAATCCCATCTCACAGTAATTATTAATGTTTTAAGCAACAGTGCACGCATACTTTAGCACTGTCAAGATGTCTTTAGGACAAAACAATGATTGCGATTTACGCCGTTTCTGAGTGAATGCATTTGTGTGTCCGCAAGCTTAAATTATGTCACTAGTAGGCCAAGAAAGCACAAATTCACAGATCACTGCTCTGAACCCTTTCACATTTTCCTGGCTGGGATCTTACACGCATTCATCTGGATTAAACATTCTTTTGCATTGGATAAATAGCTAGAGCAAGTGTCCAAATCACCATGAACCTTGATGTCATGCAGTTTCTCCAGTAGTAGGCCTATAGCATCAACTGTTTTTTGAACTCTCCTAGATTTGATCTTACGTAGATCATAAAACAAGACATTGATGTTTATTAAATCTCATGCACATTTCTGAATAGAATAACCTGCGCCGCTGTTATAATGTTCTTTCCTGTTCTCTGTGTATCTCCGTTACAGGAGAATATGAGTAATGTGATTTCTTAGAAGAGGTTTTTATATTATACACATATCATTCTTGCAGCTCTGATCTTTATATCCTTCGAGATGTTACAGTACACTGAAGTGCTGAACTAGTAACGTGTGTGAGACAACATGTATCAGAGGCATTACTGTACTTTTTACACATTCAAGCAAAATAATGTCTCAGATGTGCTCGCTCGGTTCACTTATTTACTATTCACTACATACCGAATGGTGCATGTGAGTGTAAATGAGTGAATTCAGACACTATTCTGTAGTTTTACATGAATGCAACGTCATGTACAAGAAGTCAGACTATTTCAAATCTAATCTGACAGTTCAGACGGAAAGACAGTTCCAAAATCGTATTCGCTTTTTCAACCACATATTAATCGGATGTTATATCACAGCTACATGGACCTGAGAAAAAATCAAATGGTTGAAAAAGCCAAAAAGACATTCATGCATCAGCATGTTTAGCATCCTAATCTTTTCCCTCGTGAATCATTGAGCATGAATGACTCGACTCTCTGAAGTTTGAAGCAGAGTTTTGAAATGTACCCCTTCCATCTTGTAGATTTTGTTAGCAGCGCAAACATTTTCTCAAAATAAAGTTACCCTTTTCCCACAGAGCTCTCAGGACTGGGGGCTCCATTGCATTATTAAATTATATATGAACTTATATTAAGGCTTGCTCGGAATTACCCCGCTGGAGCTGCGCCGAAGCAAAAAGGCTCTATGCTTTCAGCTTATAGCCCTACAGTATATTGCTTCTGACTCTTTCAATTCTGTCCACGTACAAACATGGTCACACGTCTCCATCATCAAAAGTCCTCTGCATCGCACACAGTAGGTGTTAGATGGTATAGTGGGTCTGCCAGAGAGAGGAGCAAAGGTCAGACATGACCGCAGGCCGATATGACTCGCCGACGTAGACTTGCAAAAGCTTCATGACATTAACAACCTGCCATTTTCTTGGAGGCAGTCCGGGGTGCGGTTGTAGGGAAGGTCGTGCTCCTCGCTGCGCCTCGGGTGTGCGTGATTCACCGAAGGACTGATGAATGCAAACAAAGGGGTGAAAGTGAAACCGAGTGCTAATGAACGGTCTTGCAGCTTCTGGGCTCAAGTGAAGCCTGATGCTTTTTGATCTTAGGTGCAGACTGATGTTTGCAAGTGCAAATGTGTTTTTTTTTCTTTCTGTCTTCACTGCGGTCTTTGTTCCTATACCATGACCTTGACTCATAGGGAAGAACAAATCACAAATTTGATCTTTATATGTGACCACAAAAGCAGTGTTAAGTCGCTGGGGGATATTTGTAGCAATAGCCAACAATACATTGTATGGGTCAAAATTATTGATTTTTGTTTTATGCCAAAAATCATTAGGATATTAAGTAAAGATCATGTTCCATGAAGATATTTAGTAAATGTTCTACTGTAAATATACAGTTTTTGGTTAGTGATATGCATTGCTAAGAACTTCATTTGGAGTTTACTACTGGTAGAAGTTAAAAGAGAGCGAATGGACACAATCAGTTTGTAAAGGTTCCCAGAACAAGCTGATTTTAAACATCAAAACATTCAGGAAACCAAGAGGCTGAGAGCTTAGCATGAGCATTGGATCTTGAATCTTTTAAAGTCTAAATAATAATAATAATTAAAAAAAGTATGGAAACGCATTAATCCTCAGATTTTAAAATGTTCATCTTTTTTGTGTAGTAATGCTGATAATAATGTGCTAGTTTGATGATATAATGTGCCACAAATCCTGTGACATGCCATTTTGGTGACGTCTGGCTGCTCTGATTGAAAAACATGAAAATTTGTGAGCGTGAAATGGGTGATGTTTTAGGATGAGTGGCGTATCTGCTGTAGCGGAAGCATGTGTTGGCTTTTGTGTGTGCTGTTGACCCAGCTGGACTGTGCTGTTTCAATACACTTGAGATAAGGAGCATGCTTGCTCTCTAACATACAAACTGGGGGGCACTCGATATGTCTTTTATTTTATTTTATTTTTTAAAATGTATTTTTTTTTTATTATTTCTATTTTATTTTAGCTGTTTACTGTAAAACCGATGATAGATCTGCATTGTCCTGTGTCATGTTGAAAATAAATGATCTGCTCTTTTCAAGCACCGATAGAACAAGCTTCAACCTCTCAGTTTATTCTGAACTTCTAAACCTGCGTATTAAACATTACATAATTTAGTCCAAACAGACTATATAAGCACTTTAAATTATATCATGTAAAATTAAAATGAATGATGATTCTTGTTATTGTTTGTAAAAACATTACATAGAACCTAAAAGCCTAAATCCTTAACTTGCGTAAAATGTTAACTCTATGTTTTCTGCCTTGCAAGCACGAGTGTTTCCTACAAGAAATTAAAATTAAGCGAGGTGTTACTATGTCTGACAGCTTCAGCTGGGTGCTGCTGCACTGGCCTGCCCACTCGGGTCATAACATCGCTAATTATTGTAGAAAAAAAAGCAGAACACTAATGAGCACCAACAAACCCATAGGTATATCATTTTCAAAATCCATCTTTGGACGTCCTTTATACTGCCGTAATTGTGTGTCTTTGCATTTAGAGCTATAAGTCTAACCTTTTAAGCAGTTTCCATGCTTGGAGTTTTCCGGGTTTTTTTCAGTTTCCGGGTTTGAAATTTAACAGGTAATTTGTGTTACTTTAGCGTTTTTGTAAATGTGTAAGTTGGCTCAACTACGGCTAAAACAAAGAGGCACATAAGATTACATAAATGCAGTAGAGAATGCATAAAACAAGTACCGTACAAAACAAAGATACGGACACTACTGATGGCAGAGTACATACATTATGATAGCACTTATGGCGTTTGATGCTCTTGATGGTAGATAAATCTATGATCCATTTCAGGTGTCATCTAACATCTACTTAGAAATGTAATACCTGATGAAACTGTGTGTTATATTATTGGAGTGAACACTTTTTTTAAATACCCAAAGAGGTTTGCTGGCATTGCTTGTAGGAACCAGTCTTGGCCTCTCAGATTTGTCTTGCAATTATACACACCTTTAGACATTTACTGATGGATGTACAGCTCTGTGCTGTCAGGTTGGTGTAAGTTCAACATCAGTTTTAAAGATAAACACCTCTGTTCCAATCACCTGAATGGCTGTTTCTGAAATAATAGGCTTTAAAAGAGCCACGGGGAGCAAAATAGGCATTGTGTACATTGTGAACTAGACGTATTGGGGGTTTTGCATCCCTGGATTATACAATAGCTTTCAAATGGTCATATAATGGCTCCCATCTGCATCCTTATGTATTTTTAATATGAAAAACAAGAGCGGTGCTGGTGTTTGTGTTGGTGAGTAGGCGTTACAGAGAGAGAGAAGGTCTGGGGTAGACCGCTGAAGAACAAAATATCGAGAACGGCGGTGAGCGAGGAAATTCAATTCACAGAGAAGAAAGACAAACCTGGGAAACTTGAGTACTTTTATACCAGCTATACAGTTCTGTATCTAATTACTCTCTGCTCACAAGACTCCTATATGCTTGTGTAGTACATTACTGTGGCATTGAATGTTATACTTATCCTTGTGATGGTCTTTTAATTGCAAAAAAAAAAAAATCTTCCATTTCAATGTGAGTTTGGTGTGCAACGATCCATTTTAATAAGCACCAGGTGCAAGCAGGAAAAGGCAGAAACAGATATCATAATACTGGCCAAAAGTGCAGCTACCTAGTGTCAACATCTTGAAGTAATCGACTTCAAAACATGAATGCTGTTAATTTAACATATTCCCAATCTTGCTACATTGGAAGTATGTGCTTCTAGAACCTACCTGGTCTCATGGCATAAACGTACCTGGGGGCACTTTTTCGCGAGACGCGAAATACGTACCAATAAATACATATCACTGCCGTTTCCAAAAGAAATGAACACTAGAGGCAGTAAAACACCTTTTATTCCTTTTCACACAAATTTACAGAGTTTCGATTAATAAAGCGTCATTTCAGCACAATTACTTGAAAAATATTATGACTTCAAAACAATTTTAATATGCTGGGAGATTTGAAAAATGATGCTTTTGAACGTTAGCATCGCACATATCCAGCTTCATATCTATGGGTTTTCAGCGACGGTAGGATTGTTCGGTAGCTCACGCAGTGCGGAGATGTACTTGAGAGGTGAGGAGGTTCGACAAAACACTTCAAATCTGCATATAAGGAAGTTCAAATGACACGGTTGCATCAACAAATGTGTTTTAATATCAGTTTTGCATTTGATAACACTATCGGGTAGGTTTAGGGTTGGGTTTGGTGTAGGGCATGTTTCCAACACGATAGAGCATTAACTTTTAGCGACAGTCCCTGAACATCTTCCCAGGCTGTCTATTAAATCATTTTGATTTGACATGACTATATCCATTATACTAATGAGTACAAGGTCTTTTTTTTCAACAGCTGCATTTGTGCTTTGATATCAG